AATCGATTGTTCAATACAGGAGCTCTTTCACTGCGTTATAGAGCGGGTAAAGTGATGTTCATAAGAAAGAAACACTTTAGAAATATTAGAAATTGCATTTATCGGGGCTCACTGCATTTATAAAATAATCCAAATTTCAAACTAAATGCAACCTTGGATATCACACACACACACATATACAGTATATATATATGTGTGTGTGTGTGTGTGTGTGTGTGTATGTATATGTATAATTTTGCAAGTGTGCAAACCTGCAACCTCATGGCCAAAAGTATTCTGCCTTAGCCAGCTACATTAACTGGCTTTTGGGCTTCGCTTGCTTTTGAAAGAGTCATTTATATTATCATGTTAATATATATTATACTGGCTCCGCGGACGCAGCCGTCTTTGATTTAGGACAACTATTCGCTGTCTCGCTTCCATAGTTTGACCAAACTCCCCATCACATTCATTCCCTTTAAATAGACTCCTAATTATGTGCTGCCTAATTGTTTGCCAGCCGATGTGTCTTTGTATATTATAATGGAAAAACTAACAACCATCAGTACAATGACAGTTTTATTCTTTGCATAAAAACACTTCAATTAATTGAACACTAATTGAACACTGGGTGTATTACAACTTTAGAATTGTAATATTTATTTGGTTCTGCACTTTTTCTTGCCACAGAATTACAATCGTATCGACTGAAATGTGAAGAAGGTTTTTGCACAGTGGTGGCCACTAGCGGAGTGAACTGTGAACAGCGATAAGGTATAGCTAAGAGTGGTCCAGACTAACCTTACGAACGAATGACTTACAGAAGGTATACTTAACTAAGAACGTTTCGGGAAACACGTATTAACGTAAAGGTACAACTTAAGGTATAACTTACGAACGACGTAGCGTTAAGAAGGTTTCGGGAAACGCAGCCCAGATAACCCCACAGAGGGTGTGTGAGTCTCTGGAGCTCTGCACTAGAACTCTCACAGGCCACTGTGTGTCTCTCTACTGTCAGGTATGCATCTCTTAGATTCATATTTGAGCAATTGATGTTATGTATTTATCTGAACTGGAACTGAACCTTATTCTGGGTTGTATTCTAATTGTTTAATTATTTAATTGGCATTTATGTGGCATTTATCTGACAACTAAAATGTTATATTTGATTTATTTCGATCTCTTCTGAAATCATTATTTCTAGTAGATTAAGGTGCAGTCTGGTGTTTCCACAAATCTGTGTCCAGGATAGATCATACCGAAGTACCAATGAATGGAGCATAGGGCACATCATTAGGGACCTTCTGATTTCTGTCTATCACTGACTTTGCAAGTTGCAGCTGTGTGACTAAAGGAAACTACACTTTTTGTACGAGTGAGCATGTGGCAACCGACTTAAAGGTATAGTTCACTATTATAGTTCACCGATTTTTCACTCGCCGACAGGTTTTGCGAAATTGCCGACAAATGCCTGAAATCGGAGGCAAATCGGTGCTCGTTCACGCGAGTGACAATCACGCAGTGTGAATTATCAAAGACACAATCTGAGAGTATCGCCGACGCGTTGCCGACGCCCGTGAAATATTTGGCATGCTAAATATCTGGAGCTGTCTGTGATTCACAATCCTGCTGTGTGAAATGAATTCTGACTGAAAAACACATCGGCGATGACCTACAGCCAATGAGAGACCAAGATACAGGGCAGCGGGAAGTTCGGGGAGGAGTTATATGAAACGTAGTTTGCGGACCAGTGTTGCCAAATCCGCGATTGCCGCCGGTTGTTTTTCATGTCAGCAGGTTGAAGCGACCCCAATAATGTGATATTTAGGCCCTGGAATGTGAATTGTACCAGGAGAACCCCGCCAAAAAAATTTTGTATTTTACCCCCCGAACGCTTTTACTGGGGGACCCCCTCGAAAGCAATTGGACTATTTTCAAGCTAGTTTTGAGTAGTAATTGGGTGGGTTTTGTAGCGAAAACCTGGCAACCCTGCAACAGATAGAGCTGTCGGTGATTCTTCCTATTGTGAAGTCATGCAATGTGAAACCCCCTGTCGCCGATCCATCGTGCAGTGTGAACACAGCAACAACTGAATGCTACCCCAGATAGTCGTTCAGTGTGAAACCAACAGTGATGCGACATCTTTGAAAATCGTGCAGTGTGAACTCGGCATAAGATCAGACCTGGCGAGTTTGTTTCCCTGAGTTCACTAATGGCCGAGTGAATTTCTATGCGATACCGGGTCCTTAATGAACGAATAATTGAAAGTATGGGATATTCAAAATAATCACATATCTAAATTAATACATAATCGATATTTGTGATCAGTTTTAATTGAAGTTCCAAATGTAGGTTTGGGAGGAGCCTAACATTAGGCAGTTTTCATTTATATGCGGTTTAGTGCTAATGATTGTATTATTTTTCAGATGCATATGCATACATACGAGATCGCTCGTTTCTGCGTCTTCCTGGTCTGTGTTTTTGATAGGCACATTCTATACTCATTCAGGAGATGGGTAATAGCGCCCCCTAGCGTATAACAGTGAAAACACAGAAACCCAGAAAATTCCGTGTTTGGCTGGAAAGTGTTGTCTCATGAATAACGGAAAATTCCGTGTTTGGTGGGGAAAGAGTTAATGATTTGACGCCTAAGCGGTATTCCTACATTTATAATCTTCGCGACTTTAACTACTTTGTGACGTTCTACTGTAATCACCTACTACGGGAGAACAGCTGCTTTGCCGTAGTCTTTACAACGTGACAGATTAGGCAGGTAAATGTTATGTTTTATAATATATACCAGTGTAATTCCATCAGGATACTTATAATTCTACCATTAGTCTTTCATTTAATTTGTTATGTTTTAAACTTAAGCTAATTTGAACGATTTTTTCATTTGTACAAAGATATGTCTGCTGTTGGCAACAGCACCTCAGGTAGCACTGAGACTAGAGATGATGTGCAGCGAACAATGTAAGTATTGCCTAAACATCCTCCTCATAATTCATCATTTGTACTTAAATAAACAACTGAATGCGCATTGTGCCGTCTTGTTTATGGTTGCTTAGGGATTTTTACATTCTCGGCCTCTGCGTTGTAACAGCTTATTTCCGGTCATCGTAGCAATGAAATAAAGTTCCAAACGTATCAAATCATTCAAGCCTGTCAATCATCATTATGAACCTATATAAGCAGCAATCATTGGACCGCCCCAGCATCAATTCATCCGGTATCCCTCCACCTCCCCTTCTCCTTCTCTGTTTCTGTTATTCTCCCTCTAGGTAGTGCCCCAATGGGGGGGTTGAACTCTCAGCTCAAGCTGAGCCTCGGGTTCGAGCCTCCATTGAGGACAGCAAGCCAAGTTTGTTTACCATTAACCATCAGGACTGGATGGGCAGGCGAACTCGTGAATTAGAAATCAGCCTAAATTTAATGATCCCTTGAAATTGGAGTTAAATTAAATACGGAGCTAGACAAAAATTTAAACTAAATCCTGATAATTTAAGTGAACTTTGCAGAAGCGAAATTAAAAGACCTTCGGCCACCCATTGGATACTGTGGTTGGGCCAGTTTGGGGATTCCTTACATAAAAGTGAAACTGATACAGACGTAGAGCTTTACACTGACAGTGTAGAAGAGCTTGTATTTTGACTAATGAAAGTATATATTTAGTCAAAGAACAGGTGAATGGATCACTCCATTATTTTATGTTGTTTAATCAAAGTCTATTTTATGAAAGATTGTGTGAAACTCTTCTTGCAGCTGCTGTTCATTTCTGCTGTCGTGTGAAGTGTGAATGCTGTAAGCTGTTAATATAGTGAAACGAGTAGTGAAACAATATTTCATCAGTGTCTAGTTTTAAATACCTGTTTCTCTGTCCTCTGTTCTGCAGCTGATACAATGTTGTGGTTTTTATGTTCGTCCATGCACAGCACACATATACATTCCTGATCAGTGCGACAGAAAACCTCAAGGAGCTTCTCATGTTTCTGGCAGATCATCTCCTGCAGTCGTCCAGTGGCATCAGTCAAATTGTGTCTCTTTCCTTTAAACCAACTCTCATGTTCTTCAAGGTGATTCTGACAGTAAGAGTTCAGACACATCAGACAGGACTTGACAGCTTTGTATTTTTTTCCAGTACAGACGTCACACTTCTTATCTCCAGCTCCAGCGTCACAGTCAGCAGGACGTTTCCTCTTTTTCAGTTTCTCCACCACTTCAGCCAGAATGGTGTCTGTAGCTAAAGCAGGTCTTGGACTGAAGGTCTGTCTGCACTGAGGGCAGCTGTAGACTCTCATCTGATCCTCCTCATCCCAGCAGCCTGTAATACAGCTCTTACAGTAACTGTGTCCACAGGGAATGGTCACTGGATCCTTCAGGAGATCCAGACACACGGCACACAAGAACTCCTTCTGATCCACTGAAATTCTGGCTTCTGCCATTTTACAGCTCGAATACAGAGACAAAAACACACTTCAGCTCAAGTCACACTGATGAGTTTAAATATTTTCCTGGTTCTGTGTTTGAGTGACGTGTGTAAAACAGGTTTGTCTGCGAGTCTGTAAAACAGGTTCCTCATTTCTGCTCCTGCTGAGTTTCGACATGCTTGACTGTTGTTAAAGTAAACACAAAGGCCTTGACTAGTTGATTCAGGTGCATTTAATTAGACAACAAACTAAACTCTATGGGAAAATGACTCTCCTGGAGGAAGATAGGCGGAGCGTCGAGCCCGTTCCCCGGGGGGAAGAAACCGCAGTGCGGGC